ATGGGTTCTGGACATGGAGCTATATCGTTTTATGCCTGGATTACTGGGTTTGGGTCTTTCTTTAGTTCAATCTTTCCTGGCCATATCCCCCATCCTTCCCCATTTGGAATGGGAAGACTTACACTGGATATTGGAAGTAAATAACTTTTTTTTTGAAGGGAATTATTGCTGAGAGTTTGAATTCCAGAAGACACTTAGCTTTTGGCTTGGACCTGTTAAGACTGTGACTTTTGGGGGCTGGGTAAGTGGATCAGCTAAGAGCATATACTGCTTTTCTAGACAACCCGAGTTCCATTCCCAGCACGCACATCAGGCAGCTCCCAACCACCTATATATCCAGATCCATGGGAATCGTGGCACCTCTGGCCTCTTCAGGTACCTGCATACCCACATATAAACACACAATTAAACACAACAACACCAAAGACCTTCTTAAAAGGCAGCATGATTTCTGAAATTGGGCTGAATATATTTTTGTATTATGAGATGACCAGGAGCTCATGAGGACCTAGTACAGAATATAATGGCTTACAAGCTCATGCGTTGCAATCATCAGTCTGCAGCCAGTGGCACAGCTTTGGAGGTTGTGGAACCATTAGGGCCTAGCTAGAGGGAGTAGATTGCTGTGGGGTGGACCTTCGAGGTTACAGTCAAGTCCTGCCTCTTGCCACAGTCAGTCAGTCCTCTTTGCTTCCTGGCCTGAATCCCAGCAGAATGAGACTGTCAGTATAAACTTCGGCGTGCCTTTCCAGCAGTGATGGCCAAAATCATTGCTAACCCTGAGCCAAAATAGATCTTTCCTCCCTTAGATTGTTCCTGTGCTACAAGAAAAGCAAGTGGTACAATTCAGAAAGGAAAGACGTTTCTTTAGTTCATGATCTGGAAGCTGGGAAGAGAACAAGATGGCTGTATCTGGAGGAGAGCTCGGAAAGGCAGAGAGGCCACACAGCAGAAAGAGGGCGCCATTCTCCTGACAGTGATTTAGTTCCTATGAGATCATTATCCATTGCTGTGAGAAGGGCATTAATCCATTTATAAGAACTCAGCCCCCACTCAGCTTTCACAGATTCCCCCACTGCTTGATAAAGTCTTCATTCTATGCTAAGCACACCATTGGCGAAGAAAAGCTCTCTAGTAGCACTGAAGAGAGAGAAGCCTCAGCAAAAGAGAATCAGGACAGGGAGAAACATTGCTTTGCATTTTATCTTCCTAAGTATGCTTGCAAAGTCCATGAAGGCAGAGACGATATCTTGCTTACTACTTTATCTCCAATACCTAGAACGGTATGTGAAAATGTTCAACAAATAGTTACTGATTGCTTGAACCTATTATTCCTGGCAGGTGATAGGTGCTCATTTATTGGTGACTGGATGAATGGACAGGTGATAAAGTTCATGAATGGGTAAATGTGGAAGTGGGTTAATGGCTGTCTACAAAAGTAGGTAAGACAATAGGTGGCATGGTGAATTGAATTGCTCTCCACAGGCTCATGTGTTTGAACTCTTGGTCCCCAACTGACAGCACTGTTTTTGAAAATAGTGGTGCCTGTGAGATATGAGGCCCACTGGTGGAAATAGGTCTCGGGGGTGAACCTGGAAGATTGTACCTACCTCTATTTCTCATCTTCATTCTCTGCTCCCTAGTTAGCACCACATGAGCAAGCCATTCAGCTCTTTATTAAAACAATTGGAAGGTGCTTTGACAGGGACACATTTTCATAGTCTACAAAAAGATTATCTCACAGCACATAGTAAATTCCTGGCCTGAGTCACACAGTAAGACCGTATCTCAAAATCTCAAAATTGGAAAATCTAAAAGAATGAATAAATTTCATGATAGATGCCACATACCGAAATTAAATCAAAATCAGATAAAAATTTAAATAGACCTACAAACCCTAAGGAAATAGAAGCAGTCTTTTAAAAGTCTCCCACCTAAAAACAGCCCGGGGCCAGATGTTTTAGCACAAAATTCTACCAGACTTTCAAAGAGCTAATACCAATATTCCTCAAATTATTTCACAAAACAGAAACAGAAGAAACACTGCAAAAAAAAAAATTTATGAGACCCAGTCACCCTGATACACAAACCACACAAAAACTACAAAACAATTTCCCTCATGACATTAATGCAAAAATACTCAATAAAATACTGGCAAACTGAATCCAAGAACACATCAAAGAGATCTTCTACCATGACCAAGTAGGATTCATCCCGGAGATGCAGAGACAGTTCAACACATGAAAACCTGTCAATGTAATCCACCATATAAACAAAATGAAAGAAAAAAAAACACACATCATCATTTCATTAGATGCTGAAAGAGCCTTTGACAAAATCCAACACCCCTTCATAATAAAAGTCTTGGAGAGATCAGGGATACAAGAGACATACCTAAATGTGATGACACATTGTTTATGATCTAAGAACGCCTGCCTAGAGATCAGAAGAGCAAAGCATCCAAGCCACCAGAGAACTCTTACCTCCACCAGTGCTGGGGAGTTGGAGGCTAACTGCCAAAGACTGAATGTTGAACACCGAATGCCAGCTCTGAGACCCTGCTCCTGTCTTATAGACTTCTCTAGTGTTGGGATTAAAGGCATGAGCTCTGTTTCTGGGTTAGACTGATTCACTCTCATGTAGCCCTGAGTGGCCTTGAACTCACAGAGATCCATCTGCCTCTGTCTCTTGAGTCCTGGGATTAAAGGTGTGTACCACCACTGCCTGCCTGTGGCTAGCGTTGTATTCTGATCTCCAGGCAAGCTTTATTTGATCATAAACAATATATCACCATACCTAAACATAATAAAAGCAATATACATCAAGCTGACAGCCAATATCAAATTAAATGGAAACAAACCCAAATCAATTCCACTAAAATCAGAAACAAGCAAGCCTATCCACTCTCTCCTTATCTAGTACTTGAAGTTCTAGCTAGAGCAATACATCAACTAAAGGAGATCAAAGGGGATACAACATAGAAAGGAAGGAGTCAAAATTTCACTATTTACAGATGATATGATAGCATACATAACGGAACCTAAAATTCTACCAGGGAACTCCTAAAGTTGATAAACACCTTTAGCGAAGTGGCTGAAACCCCTTCCTCCTTCCATGTTAAGGCAGTTCTGTTTTCCACCCTGCATTTGCTTCTGGGCTACCATTGCTAAATACCTATATGACCCAAAACAAGCTAGCATTGATGTAAGGGGTTTTAAATCCTAAATATCTACAGAATGTCCCACAGGAATAAATTCTCACATATCCAACCATATGTTTTTCTGAAATATCAGTTCCATTCTCAGCCATGCTAAATTGCACTAACCTCTGGTGAAATGTATTATTTGCTTCTTCAGTGATTTAGCCCCACGTTCTTAGATCATGTTGATGAAAAATATTATTTTGGAAAGAAGTTGAGGAAGATCTTGAGATGGATGGGAAAATGTCATGTTAGTTGTCATTTGCCTTAGTCAAAACTTTTGCATAGTCTTCATATAATGAGACAACATTCCTCTTTAGTAAATAGCATGAGCCATTCTGCTAGCCTAGAGGTTTTATGGATATCACACTGTCCAAGTAGAGATGGAAACCATATCAAGTTTCTCAAGCACATCTGCCCAATCTTGCTGTCTTGAATTTTATAGATCTATTTTGTTATGTTATGAAACTGACTGTACTGTAGAAGACTTGATAAAGACATGAGTTCAGATTTCAACCCAACTGTGAAAGCTGATAATTAAATCTTTGGTCTAATATGGGAAATTCTGTCCTTCCAGTAAACATGGGAAAGTTTATAAACATTGTCATTGAGTGGCCAACAGTTGTAGGGAGGCAGTCTATGCTGACACTTGAATTTTCATTCAGTAACTTTATGGATTTCAATCCATATTTTACCATCCACACAGATCACATTAATCTCTTTCACTGCTGCTTGACTGCTTTTAAATCCTTTTCTAAACCTGTAAGGCACACAGAGTTTAGCATTATATCATCTCTATAATGCAATGTTTATTAGAAGATAGACAGGATCAATGAAGGCCTACCACCATTTGTTTCAAGCAAATGAAAATTTGTTTTAGGACTCAGCAACTAAGAGGACAGTGAAAAGAGTTAACTAGGTACATTGTACCATTTAAATATTCCAACTCTTGTATTAATTGTTCTGTCAAAAGGCAATGATGAGGAGGGCACTACCATATTTAGCTCTCTATGATAGGCAGTGACTCTCAATAATCCTTCTGGCTTCTTTAACAGCCACATCTGGTAACCAAATGGGTTTTGGCTAAGTGATAAACTTTACCTTTATAGGGGTTAATTTCAACAAGTTACACATCACTGCCTCTACAGTTCATCCTCTCGGGTAAAACTCTGCAATGGTGGAATGCAAAGTATGTCCCAACAGTTTACCCACCTCTAGCATATTTTCCTGCAGGAGGGAAAATATATAACCTATTGTATACTATCCCATACTCACCAATGGTTGCCTATTCCTACATTATTTAGCAGTTAGCATGAAATAATGTATACTTGGTTCAACTAAAGCCCAAGTGTTTTCCATATTACTAAGAAATACAGTGTAAGGCCTCTAGTCACACAGCATGGCCCTCATCTTCAGGTAACATTGGCCACTCTGTTAAGGGAGTAGCCAAGTGCTGCATAATTTTTCCTAGGAAAATATAAAGACACGTCTTTTCAACACTGATAGAGCAGACATAGGCAGACTTAAAAAAAGGAATCTCATGAGATATTCTGTGGATAAGTACGGTTGCTAGAATTCAGTGCTTATGTCCACTAAAATCAGGAACAAGACAGGGCTATCCACTCTGTCCATATACATTCAATATAATACTTAAAGCTCTAGCTAGAGTAACAAGGCAGCTAAAGGAAATCCAGGGGATACAAGTTGGAAAGGAAGAAGTCAAAATATTGCTATTTGCAGATGATATGATAGTATACTCTTTTTTTGGAAGATAAGTTTGTATTTATGTACAGAAAACTTAGCGGTGAGTGTACATTTAACCCAGTTTAGTAGTGAGTTCTTTAGCCTTTGCCTTTTCCAGCTTGGCAATTCGAGCCAGGACATTGCCTCCCCAGTGGCGTCGGATCTCATCAGATCTGTCATTGTAATTGGTTCTAATAGCTTCCACCAGCTTAGCCAGAGAACCCTTGTCTTCCAAGTTAACCTGTGGGAAGGCAATGGTGGTACATGTTTTCCTGTGGACCAGTCGTCCCAGCCTGGCTTTTCCCTTGATGATGCAGTAGGGGACCCCCATCTTCCGACACAGGGCAGGCAGGAAGACCACCACCTTCTTGGCCTCCTGTTTCTTCACGACGACGGGGGCCGGAGCCGGGGCCGGAGCCACCTTCTTCCCCTTGGCCTTCTTTCCCTTGGGCATCTTGGACTTTGTTCGTAGCAGCTTTATTTGTAATAGCCAGATGTAAGAAGTTAAGGTCTACCAGGAGGAGAGATAAGTCAACCTGGAGTCTGATAGTCACTGTCAGTGGTCTTGATCCTGCCCAGCCAATAAGGGATGACCACATGATCCTGCCTGAGGCCCTAGCAATAGGTGCTGTCAGAGGTCCTGATCATGCCTAACCAATGAGCAGTGACTTTGCAACGTCAATGGATCAGAATGCCTGGGTTCTGTCGGGGGGTGGGGGGGGGAATATAAGTTTCTAACCATTGCTGAATAAAGGAGCCTGCTGTTTTTCCTTTCATCTGACTCCCAGGGTCTGTGTCACTGACTTTGTGCCTTCACACCCCCAGAAACAGTCAGAACCTAAAAACAACATAGATGTCCCTTAACCAAAGAATGTATGTTTTTTTAAAATGTATGTTAAACTGTATGTGAATATATGTCTGTTAAAAACAATGACATCATAAAATTTGAAAGCAAATGGATGGAACTAGAAAAAATCGTTCAGAGTGAGGTAACCCAGACCCTGAAGACAAATGTGGAATGTACTAACTTCTAAGTGGATGTTAACTGTAAAGTAAAAGATAACCATGCTATAATCCACAGACCTAGAGAGGCTAAGTAACAAGGAGGGCTCAAGGGGAGATACTCAGATCTCGCTGGGAAGGGGAAATAGAAGAGATCTCATGGATGAACTAGAGACAGTTGTGGATGGGAACATGAGGGTTAGGGTTACGAGTGGATGGAGGGGGGAGTACTGAAAAAGATGGCTTGGGGGTCAGGTAGAAACCTGGTGCAAGGGAAACTGCCAGGAATCTACAAGGGTGACTCCTTGTAGATTTATATTTATTTATTTATAGGAGTCTTAGTCCAACTAAGACTCCTATCTAGAGCAGATATATAACCTGAACTGGTCATCTCCTGTGATCAGGCAAGACTTCCAATAGAGGAACTGGGACACCAGACCATCCACATAAGCTTCAACCTACAGTCTGTTCTGACTATAGAATATACTGGGGTAAGGGTGGCACAGAGACATTGTGGAAGTGGCCAACCAATGATTGATCCATCCTGAGACCCATGCCACAAGAGTGAGCCCACCCCTGAAACTGCAAGGAATGCCAAGACCCAAAGGATGGATGGCTAAGACCTAGCATAGAACCAAACAAAATTGGGGGAAAAAAACATTAGGATAACTTCTGATAGTACTCATAGATTTGTGCCTACCCCACTGTCAAGAGAGAATCTTCATCTAATAACTGGTGGAGACAGATGCCAACCTACAACCAAACATTAGGCAGAGTTCAGGGAATCCTTCTGAAGAGAGTGAGGAAGGATTGTAGGAACCAGAGAGGTAAAGGACATCACAAGAAAACCCACAGAATCAACTAACCAGGGATCATAGGAGCTCACAGAGACTGAACCAATAACCAGGGAGCCTACATGGGATCAACCTAAGCCCTCTACATATATGTGACAGTTTTGTAGCTTGGTCTACTTGTAGAACTCCTAACAGTGAGAGCAAGGGATATCTCTAATGCTTTGGTGGCTTTTGGGAACCTATTCCTCATACTGGATTGCCCTGCCCAGCCTTAATTCAAGGAGGCAGGGGTTCTTAGTCCTACTACAGCTTGATATGCCATGCATTATTGATATCCATGGGAGGACTGCCCCTTTCTGAACAGAAACTGAGGTGGAATGGGTTGAGGGGTGGGCCATAGGGGAGGTGGGGAGAGGAAATAGAAGGACAGGAGGGAGGGGAAACTGTGGTTGGGGCGTAAAATAAACAAATATAAATAAATAAAATGTTAATTATAAAATAAATATATTTAAAAATGAAATTCACAGAGAAGTGGATATAACTGGAAAATATTACACTAGGTGAGGTAACCTGGTCCAGAAAAGCCAGTACCACATGCAAATCTTGGCTTTGAATATTTAGATTCGTGTGTCTAATTTGGAGTGTCTGTAGAGGTCAGGAAGTTGGAATCTGTTCCTGAGATGTGTAGGGAGCCATCCCTGCATTCTCCATTACAATAATGGTGCCTGAAGACACCAAAATGTAAATTACTTCACAGGCGCTGGGTAATCTCCATTCCTTTGATCTCTGCCTATCCCATGGCTCATTTGGCCTGAGGAGCTGAAGCCATTCATAGGGTAACACGTCCCAGGC